GTCTCCTGCCTTTTCTGTGTCTGTCAGAGGCTCTGCAACTCGAGGGACACAAAAGCATTTCCTCAGAGACAAGAGCCTGCCCCGACCCCTCTTCGCCGCCCGCCTTAGAGAACCTCCCCCGGCGGTTCGGGTTGTAGGCGTAATTGGCCGCGAGCCTTGTCAGTGCCCGGGACTGTCGACGCCCAGGGCGGCGCCCCTCGGCCTCGTGAGGAGCCGGGCCCGGGCTCCGATTCATCTCCGGCTGGTCATTAAAGAGGCTGAGGCAGAGCCCGGCTAACTGGACCACTGTCTCCCCAACCTCGCCCGCTTTCCGGCTGTTACAGCGCAGAGGTGCCCGGGCCCGGCACAGCCCCGGACCTTGCCAACCAGCGTCTGCGGTGGGCAGGGGGGCCCAGGCTGTTCCAGCCACCCTCGGCGACGGGTGATAGGCAGCGGGCGTGTTTATCTCCGAGTCCATTACAGTTAATGAAACCTGAAAAGCTCCTAAAATTAAAAAAAAAGCAGCACTTACCACACTTTGTGACGTGAGTCAAGCACACGTACCCAGGTGCACACGCGCACACGCCCACAGCCCGCACGTGGTAACAGAGAGGCGTGGGCTCTGGGGGAGCATCGCGTGGCGGTGAAGAGCTGGGCTCCCCTTCGCCCGCTCTGTGGGCACAGACAGGCTGCCGTCCTCTGGGTCTCGGCCTTCGTACCTGCCAAGTGGGAATCACAGGAAAACCTGCATTAAGTCACATTTGATCACATCTCAGAGAGTGTCTGTAACAGCTGCTAACTCCATGGCTGCCGTTACTACTCCAGGACACCGCCCAGTTCTCCACCCCCGCGAGGAGACCGTGAACATCGCCGCAGAGTTCGCGGGGAAGAGCAGTGACCGGGCCTCTGAAGGATCGCAGACCCTCAGAGGGAGAGGCGAGCAGACCAGGGCCGTTCCCACCGGGCTTCTGTAGCTGCACAGGGTTTAGGCCAGAACCCCAGGGAACGCCCTGGACCCCCCTGGAATTGCTTTTCCTTCCCTGGAATTAGGTGGAAATCTCTCTGAGCTTTCTTTGTTGTTGTTTTTTTAAATTTTGTAACTTGCTTAGAAGACAAAAGGAAATTTGAGAGAGAGAGAGAGAGAAAGAGAGAGAGAGAGACTCTCTCTATAGAATCTGAACTGCAGGGCAGACATAGTTGACCCAAGTCTAGGGTTTACCCGAGTCTAGGGTTGACCCAAGTCCAGGGTTGACCCAAGTCTAGGGTTGACCCGAGTCCAGGGTTGACCCGAGTCCAGGGTTGACCCAAGTCTAGGGTTGACGCGAGTCTAGGGTTTACTCAAGTCTAGGGTTGACCTGAGTCCAGGGTTGACCCGAGTCCAGGGTTGACCCGAGTCCAGGGTTGACCCGAGTCTAGGGTTGACCTGAGTCTAGGGTTGACCTGAGTCTAGGGTTGACTCGAGTCTAGGGTTTACTTGAGTCTAGGGTTGACCCGAGTCCAGGGTTGACCCGAGTCCAGGGTTGACCCGAGTCTAGGGTTGACCCGAGTCCAGGGTTGACCCGAGTCTAGGGTTGACCTGAGTCCAGGGTTGACCCGAGTCCAGGGTTGACCCGAGTCCAGGGTTGACCCGAGTCTAGGGTTGACCTGAGTCTAGGGTTGACCTGAGTCTAGGGTTGACTCGAGTCTAGGGTTTACTTGAGTCCAGGGTTGACCCGAGTCCAGGGTTGACCCGAGTCCAGGGTTGACCCGAGTCTAGGGTTGACCTGAGTCCAGGGTTGACCCGAGTCCAGGGTTGACCCGAGTCTAGGGTGGGTTGGACAAGCTGAAGAACTCGGTCTGGAAACAAAGGCAGAGGCTAGTACTAGAAGACAGAGGCAGCCGGAGAGGCAGAGCTGTGGGATGAGCCGTCGTGGGAGCAGCCTGGACCCAAACCCCAGCGAGCACCAGCCCTGGAACACCGCCCACCCCAGGGCGGCCCTGAGCAAACATCGACCTTCCCTCAGCTCGACCCAGCTACACAGCTCGCGCCTGTTCCTGTGCAGAAAACCGATGTCCTCTGTGCTTTCTGACCGCAGGCAAAGCAACAGCATCGTTCAACAACTTCATCACAGGATGAAAAATATTCCAACCGTTTACCAGAGGAGACCCGACAATGAATCGACAGGCTAGACTTTTTGCTGGTATGAACCAAGCTTTAAAATGTTGATAACAAGACTGATGGCTTTCGGAGGGATGGAGGGGTGCTCAGAGATTAACCAAAGAACTTACATGCGTAAGTGCTTAACCCATGGACAGACGCTAGGGCGGCGAAGGCCCGGGAGGTGGGGGCGGGAGCGCGGTGGAGGGGCCAATGGGGAGAAGGGGGACGTCTGTAAAGGGGGGCATCTGTAACACCTTCAACATTAAAGAAAAAATAAAAAAATAGGACTGATAACAATTAATATGCATGAATAAATAAGGTACTGACAGGCGGTATCTCCCCACGAGCCAGCTCTTGCGTCTTCCACGGTGAACCAGTTGTTCACAAACGCCCGATTCTATTATCTTAAAGTCATCAGCTAAATGAGATTGGAAATGGGAGTCTCACAAAAGGTACCGCAGGGATTTAATCTCTTAATTGGTGCCCGTAAGGTCCTTTGAACACCACAAATCGCTCTCCCAACCGTCAGACATTACTCAGCCCAGTCCTGCCCCGACGGGACCGCGTGGAGCCCGAGCGGCACCTTCTGCGACGAGGGGGCGGAAGGAAGTAAAGGGGCGTTGGCTCGGTGCCCGTCTGTGCCTGGCACTGTGCTCCGCACTTAATACCCACGGTTTCAGCCAGGTTTTCTTTGTGGGGAGGAGCGTAATCGGAAATTTTAGGGTTGTACAGATGTACAAAAAGGGACAGACAAGCCATTCAAGCCGACAGAAATCAGGTTACCGTCTCAACAAGTTTGCTTCCAGTCTCTGTCCGTAACTGAAAAACCAGTTGTTTTCTTTAACACATGCATGTTGATTTTCAACATTCAAACTATGTAAAGCTATACAAAGAAAATAAAAATCCTTACCCAAATTTAATGATTTCTTTCATTGTAAAAATTATTCAAATTTGGTAAAATTGCAACAACCTTTCCATGCATATAAATACAGAGAAGGTAGATTAACTTAGATAGATAAATGCATAGCAAGAGGAAAATACCTTCATAAACATGGGATCATACCATAGAGACTACTTTTAACATTGCAATTAAATTTTATTTTAGATTAAAGTAAAAATAAAGAGAATTTTGAATATCTAATAAATGATTTAAGACAAAAAATATTTCTTTTTCTAAAAGATTCCCCTGCGGGTAGAGGATTCTCTGAACAGCACTAAGAGGTCAGAGCGCTTAGACTTTAAAAATTACAGGTATAAAAAATTACATGTATATATAGAAAGTTTATGCTTCTGACATATATGTGTATATACAGGGTGTCCCAAAAAATGTGTACACACTTTAACAGCTGATAGCTCAGTTTTGAAAATGAGATGCACTTTAATAAACACCCCCCTTAAAATTATTCGCAGTGTGTGTGCCCATTGGGGGCACCCTGCGTATCTCCTGCTGACTTTCTGCTGTGAAAGGGGGTCTGTCAGCGCACGTTTCCAACTCTATTCCCACACCTGCTCCTCAGCATTGTGTTTGTTGTTATTTTCATTCTGTCCAAGTTCAAAGCATCCGTATTCTGTCCCGCAGCTGAACTGAACGTAAGCTGGTGTCAGTGCTAGTTTCTATTGAATGTGGCCCGTGTGCACCCTCTCTCCCCGAATCCCCGAGACCTGAGACCTTAGCTGGCGGATCTCACCCTCAGGCCGTTTCCTCCAGAACAGCCACTGAGTCACCTCCCGGGAGTCCTGCTTCTCTTTATGATGAATGCAGAATGTCATTCTATCTACAAGGCACTCGGGGTGATAACCGTCCCATCACCGTCTGGCGGGGAGTCTGGTGGGCCCCTCGTCACTGTCCCCTGGCACGGGAGGCTCCTGTTATTAAACCGAACAGTAATCTGAGTTTTCAGGCCTTTAGATGATTTGCTGACCCAGCCTGGTCTTCTCACAAAGTCCTTCTGTGGCTTGAGGGTCGTCCCCCAGCCGGCAGGTGCCTCCCGCAGCGTCCCCGGGCCGGGCTGAGTTCCATCGGCTCGGGGGCCTCGCGAGGGGTCCCCCCCCCCGGTGACATCGAGGATCCTTGAGCGTCTTTTCTGTCCTTTCCACGCATTGCCTTTTCCAACTGCATCCATTGTAATTATATCAAATTACCCTTTTACGCCAGTAACGGACTTTCAGCGGTTGGTGGTTTTGTCTCTCGCCTACTCTAATTGACTTATTAATTCTTTAAAGATGCGGCTCCGGTTGCCATTTGTATCTCTGAATGTATCTGATTCTATGGTTTTCTTTCATCTTGATATTACATTATTTTATCTTTTTAAATTTTTTATTGTTTTTACATTATCTTTCAAACCCATGTTCCTATTCTGCACCATGAAACAACGGAGAGAAATCTCCCAGGTCCCTGGCGCTACCTTTCGTCTCGCGTGGGCACCGTCCCCCGCCGGTGGGCCCCGTTTTTCAAGTTCATCGAGGTGANCGTCCCCCGCCGGTGGGCCCTGTTTTTCAAGTTCATCGAGGTGAACCTGTGCCGCTCGCCAGGATCCGTCGCCGGGAAGGGCTTCGTCAGGAAACACGGCGACCTGGGACCTGGAGACTGGAGGCCGGCCCTGGACCGGGGCTAATTTCCTGATTTGGGTGGTTTCACTGCGGTTACACACGAGGATGGTCCTGCAGGAGACGTTCGCTGACTTATCTGGGATGAGAGCATCGCTTTGCGAAATTGCTCTAAATGGTTCAAAAAACCTCTTTGTTCCGTTCTCGCAACACTTCCTGTGTGTCTGAGGCTGTTTCAAATAACGACTCTTCCCGAGCGTGGGCTGACGTGGCCCTCGCCGCCCCACGCCCGGAGCGGGCCAGTCTCTCACGCGACCCCGCGTTTCTTTCCCAGGGGACGGTCCTTTCAGCCCTCCCGTCTTCACCCAGGAGCCGTGGGATGTCGTTTTCCCTTTGGGTTTGTCACAGTCCGAAGTCACCCTGAAATGTGCTGCGACGGGCTACCCTCCTCCCCGTTACAGGTAAGGCCCTGCCCCTCGCTGGCTCTCTCTGTGTCTGCGCGGTGAAACGTACCCCCAAAAAGTGCTCAAGGTATCCTAATTTACAGGGTGAACTCTGACAGGGGTGCCGCTGTGTGCCCACCGCTCAATGACACATAAATTTCCCCCCCAAATCTTCCCGTTCCCCAGGCAGCAACCACCCCCCACCCCCCCGGCCACTAGCA